GGACAGATCCACCCAGACAAGGCCTCCCGAGCCTTCCCCACCCAGGGCTCCAGGAAACCACGACCAGGGGGTCAGGGTTAGAAAATAAGTGGCAAACTATTTGCAAACAGCAATCTGCTGAACATAAGGAACCAAGATTCTCACTTCCCTCTCTTATAAGAAGGTAGTACTTTGGGAGGAGAGACTCCAAAACTCCAGCCCAGGGGGACAGCAGTGCTGCTCCAAGGCGAGGAGAAGCGTCTGTAACTCCGCTTTCCTGACTGAACTGGGATTTTCACACCGACCTTCATCCCAGCAACCAACAGCCTTCCTTCCCCCGCCTCCCCGTGGCCATCGTAAAGCAATGGGATAGGCTCTTCTCCAGGGCTTTCAACTGGTTCCAGAACCATACGTAACGGTGCTGTTTTAAGACACCTCACTGCAGCCAACGCTCAGCCTCTGGTGTGGGCTCTCCTCGACTCTCCGTGTGGTTGAACATCTGACAACCATTTGGTGGAATAAGTGAAGGGATTAGAACAAGAAACACAACTTTTTCTTGACTTTTCTGCTGATCCATTGGAAACTCATTTAGGCCCACACATGCTTGCCGATTCTTCCTTTAATATAAAAAGGTAATTTCTGCAGAAGCCAGTTCCAATCCTGGGTCAGATTGGACTGACAGATGGCTGTCACCGCAGGATTCCTCTCTCACCCTGGTCTTCACCCCGCACCTTTGAAATGACCCCAGCATTCTTGAGAAAGGGCCAGGTGGATGGCCTCAGCCAGTGATGTCACCAGCTCACCCCGGGGAGGCCTGGCCAGGCTGCTGTGTCACAGCCTGAAAAGCCGCCTCCCAGGCAGCAGTCTCAGCACCACCTCCCGGCGGGTTCGGGCGGCCAGGCCCTGACCCGGCCACACTGTGGCCATCCCACCTCAGTAGCCTCCTCTCCCTCCCGGCCTCCCTGCCAGGCGAGGGAATCTGCAGAACTTGTGCCACCCAAACCGTCAAGCTGCTGAGCAACCGAACCTGAGAATCATTATAAACCTCCTGGCCCCTCGCTAACTCGGAAAGCTGCACACAGAAGGAGTATAAGCTCTTGAGGAATCCCCAACCCGAGAGGCACGTCCTCCACGCCGGGCGGAAGGCAGCGGGCAGCGGGCTCTGACGGCAGCCGGGCCTCAGCTGGACCCTCCCGGCCACGTCTTCCCTGTGTCCCCCGATACGGTTCTGCCGCTTCGGGGCCTCCGTTTCCACATCCCTGGGAAGCAGCGTAGGAAAAGCTGCTCCTGGGTTCCAAGGATTAAAGAACAGTTAGGGGAGCAGATCTCTCTGCGTGGTCTCTGCCTCCCTCTGCTCCGCCGCCCGCACGTGCACCCACGTCCTCTCCCCGCGGCGACTCCCCGGTGGGAAGCGGGGGCTGCTGTGGGGCGAAGAGGACATGTTTGCAGGAAACCGCAGCCTCCGAAGCCGCTCGGGCAGAGCTAGTCAATCACCACCTGCTTCTCACGTCCAGGAGCCTAGGGCACCCCGTCCCGCCCGCAGGAGGACACCCCGTCCCGCCCGCAGGAGGGCACCCCCCATCCCGCCCACAGGAGGG